GGGTGACAGCTGAAGAGAGAACCACTATCTGTTCAGGCCTTAAAGTCACATGAGCCTCAGAACAGAATCCTTCAGCAAAAACCTGTAGGACTGTCAGACTATGTTCATGAAGGCCAGGACATCTTAGGACCTTTTTAGGTTTCCTCGGCATCAATAGACATTTTAAATCAGGTAAAACGACTATAAAACTGCAGTTGGGTTCTAGGTTATGAAAAAAAAAACACAGGTCATTTTTCTTTTTAAATTTAATGTTGATATCCTGTACTCTACAAGAGAGATTAGCAAACTATGGTCCTACGGCCATCCAGCCCACTGCCTACTGCTGTAAATAAAGTTTAATTGGAATACAGCCATGTGCATTCATTTACATTGTCTATAGCTGTTTCTTTTTCTTGCTACAGTGGCAGAGTTGAGTAGTTGCAACAGAAACTATATGACACACAAAGCCTAAATTATTTACAATATGGCCTTTAAGAAAATCTTGGTCAACCTCTGTTCTACAACATATTAGAAGATGAATACACATAGGGGTATACACTGGTTAACATTTCTGGAGAGCTTTTTGGCAAATACACTCCAAAACATTTCTAAGGAAATAATTACCATTTACACAGAGATTTACTCCATTTTCTAAGTAATGGAAAAAATTATAAACTATGTGAATACCAACCTTTTGGGAACTGGCTAAATAAATTATGATGCAGCCTTACAATGGAGCGGAGCATTATAAACAAACTAAAGCAAGCTCAAACATTTGCTTTCAGTCCCTCTCTAAGTATCTCTAAACAAAAATAATTTATTTTATTTTATTTTTTTTGTCATAGCCCAAAAGGACAAAGATTAATGAGAGAAAAGGATACAGCAATGAAACTTTGGAAGCTAGAAAGCAGATGTATGAATGATAACAGTCTCCAGACTCACAAAAGCTAACTCCTGAGCTAGCAGTGAGAAAACACAATAACCAATCTGATTTATACTACAGACTTCTCCCAACCATCAAGACTAAGAAATTGCAAAATCAGGGCCAAAATTCAAATGGGGCCAAAAACTAAGAATGGTTTAAAAATTACGTAAGAAGCATCTGGATTTCAAGATGTATTCACTAAACCCCATACATAAGGTTGCTTCTTCTAACCCAGTGTTCAGTAGCTTATTCTTATAGACAACTAAGCATCACCAGTTAGCTGAGGAAAGCCTCTTATATGAAAAAAGGGTCAAAAATAACCAAAGAAAATGAAACACAACTTGGAGAACACAGACTATGAGAAGAAAATTTTTGAAAGATTCTAACAAATTCCTCAGAGAGCTAATAGATGATATTCATCTCTGTAACAAGTATTAGATATTATTTTTTAATAGTAACAAAACATTCAGAGGATAAGAAAAGTTCTTAGAAATTAAAATACAGTATCGTAAATGAAATAAAATAACAGAAGAGATAAAAGGTTATTATGAAGAAATACAGAAAAAACAAAAGACAAAGAGATGGCAGATAAGAGGAAAAAAAATTAGAAGACCAGTCCACAAAGTCAAACATCCAAACAGGAGTTCTAGAAAATAGAGAGCGAGCAGGGAAATTAACAACAAAATATTTGAAGTTCCCAGATATAGAGGATTAAAAATTAAAGCATAATATGTTCATTCATGGATAAACAAAGTGCATCATTGTGAAATTTCAGCATCAAAAAAGAATTTGCTAAGAGTTTACCAAAAAAAAAATCAGATAAGGATGAGGAATCAGAATGGTTTCTAAAAACAAGCAAACAAAAATCTCCAATAGTTAAATGACAATGGAGCAATGTCTTCACAATTCTGAAGGAAAATAATGGCTAACAAAATTCTATACCCAGCTAAACTACCAATCCGGTGTAATTATAAAATAGACACGAAAGGCCTCAAAATATTTACCTACCAAGCACTCTTTTCCCAAGAAGCTAGAGAATAAGTGCCACTAAAATAAAGCAGTAAATCAGAAAGAAACAGTTATGGGATCCAGCAAACATAATTCAAGCCCAGAGATAGAAACCCATAAGATAACGGTAAAGAAATTCAAAGATGACAACTCTGTAACAGAGGAAAAGAAAAACTAGTCCAGACTGGTACAGGTCACAAGCCTCCTGGAAAGTACTGTTAAAAAAGATTAAAAATAAACAGACTGAATCAATGTCTTGTGAGATGATTTAGGCAGGCAGAATCTAAATCATCTAGGAGTTAAATTAATAAGTATACTAAAGATATATACATAAGTTTTAAACATTATTAACTCCAGGTAAAAAAAAAAATGCAGGAAATGAAAAGTAGTCATAATACACTATATGGCTCAGTGGTGATTAGCATTTACAAACTAAACTTTGAATATTAATTGAACCAGAATTATGATATAGTCCTACTGGAAGGACTAGGTTAAGATTACATGCACACCCATGTGAATATGTGTGCATGAGTGAAAAAAATAAATCATCTTCTAAGATGTGAAGGAAAAGGGTTACGCCTAAAACTGGAAAACTTAAAAATTTAAACATTTTATTTGGAGATATGGATTACCAAGACTTAAAAATGGCTGCCCCAAAGAAGAGAAAAATAAACTAGTTCATTTCTTAATAAGCCCATAGAGTTCTTTAAATTTTCATATATTATAAATACAAACTTACAAACTTAAAAATTATATACGAAAGAACACAGATCAGTACTACCTAAAAGCAGATAGCAGTCTGCAATGAGATAAGGAGCTTGTAGATAAATCAACTATATCACTGAGAACACTGCTGACATTTTTTCTGTAGCAAGTTTTCTTGATGAAAGAAGAAATACCTTGATTTACATTCTGGCTCAAGCTCTTTATACCATATCAAGGCACTTTGAGTATGTATAGATCTGTAAAGGGCGAGTATGTATAGATCTGTAAAGGGCCAGAGAGCAAATATTTTAGGCTTTGCAGGCCATACGGTCTCTCACAACTATTCACCTCTGCCACTGCATCACGAAAACAGCTATGGGCAATATGTAAATGAACAGGTGGCTACATTCTAATTCATCCATGACATTGAAATTTGATTTCATGTAATTTTCATGTGCCACAAAACATTTTTTATATGTAAAACCTATTCTTAGCTCACTGACCATACAAAAACAAGTGATGGGCCACAGGTCATAGTTTGCCAACCCCTGTGATAGATAATATGACCAACTTTGTTTAAAAAGAAGAAAAGCTGTGTCATAGCAGTTTCATGTAATGTGTTTTTCCTTCTTTTTAATGTTTTCCTGTCTTAAAAACAAAAAAAATGCTGAAGAACTTACAAAATCAAAAAGTTTTAAAACCATTTATCTACCCACAAATATATTTTTCTCTCTAATTCCTAAGCAAGCCTGAGTTTGTAAATTTTTATGTTTAAGATATTCCAGGAGAAACCATTTCAGATGGTTTTTAAAAGCAATCTCCTCTATTCTGGCATTATAATGAATAAAGCTTCATTGTTTTAAATCTAAACAGAAAAGAACAAAAACAAAAACCAGATCCTGGGATCCTGGATTTTAAAAACGGAGAAAATGTTCCTACAGCCACCTCTCCCTTTTCTAGTTAGCAATAAAATCATATTTAAGATAAACACAAAGATACTGACTCAATCATCTAATCTTTGGAATTTCTTTCTTCAGCAATGCCTTAGTTCCCCAATCAGCAAAGGCCCAAAACCCTCAAAACCTTCTAGGCTTCTCTACAAACTCTTTTTCAACTGAGATAGGGCTGATAGAGCAAGTACAGGGTATGAGACCCTCCCAAGCTTCATCTACATTACTAATATTACAGATCCTCAAAGTGATGGTAGTGAAAATGGAAGCCCTGCCTCCCTTATTGAGTGAATGATCATCCTTCCATTGTGCAGCTATAGTCCTCAAACAGAACAGATTACAGGAAACATAAGCACAACCAAGTAAGTTCCAATTTGGAGCAACAGCCACGTCCAAGTTTCCAAGGTAGTACAGTCCTCACACAGAAAAGAAGTAGGAATCCGTTCTGGTCTACGTCAGACTGGGAAGATGCACAGAGAAGTATCTAACAAGGGACTACTCCTGTTGATGGCCACCAAAGAGCATGATTATAGGAAACCTGACTACTGCTTGGAGACCACCTAATTGGAAGAGGGAAAGGGGCCACTCGAGCACTCTGTGATCGATTGCTTTGGGCATCAATAAAGAAAGTAAAGAAATTCAGCTAATTCCTCAGACTTTGTTAAAATTTTACCATTCTAAAATAAATCATTCCAGGATTTTTCAGGCTGACAGTGCCACCTAGTGGCTTACCATCTTAAACTGTTACGTGCCATCTGGGACAGCCAGCCACCTCTCATTCTGAGGATAGCAGTATTTAACCACTTTTAGTCCATAAAGACAAAACTTCTGGCATCTCTTGCCAAAAGTAAAACTAGGTTGGAAAATATTATAGCATTTGGGAGTTAGGAGAACAGGTCTACCCCTGAAGGTAGACCCTATAACAAAGAGAAAAACTTTTACAGCACTGCTGCTGGAACCAATCTATTCAGTAGCTCTAGCTCTTGTCAAAGAAATCCACCCCGGGACACATCAGTGGAGAATTCTCAGGGAAAGGAAAAAAAAATCACATTAGAAAAAATTCAAAACCACAAGAGTCCCAAAATAGAAAGAACCCTGAGGACATATACACTTGGGCATAGGAAATCTAAGAGAATGTCATTTGCAATACAGACAAAAAGAACCCCTTAAATATGAGAGGTATTTCAAGGTGGTAATGTCTACAACTTTAGCCCATGAACTTCTAATGAAGTTATACAAATTCATGAAAAAAAAAATTTTTACGTTCTTATGGTGTCTAAGTCCCATATAATAAATATACACAGGCACGCAACCATGCACACACATCCACACACCACTGGCTTGCCTTGAAATAGAAATGCTTCGGCTTTTGATGGACTGTCATTAGCCTGACAACATTCACTATGCATCTCAAGATGCTGAGAACAACTCACCTTGGCAACAAACTGTTTGTCCTTTTGGTCCAAGTTAGCAGTAGGAGCCACATAGTCTCTCCATATTCTCAGCCTGCGCTCCTTGGCAAACCTGACAACAAAGCAAGGATGCAAATCATTCAGACAGACTAGGCCAGCAAAGAGAATTCACTATCAGCATGGAATCAAACAGTACAGAATTTTACCCTACCTCATAGACAAGGCACCCAGGAGAAAGGCCACCAGTCAAACTAGAATAACATATGACAGTCAGAAGAAAAGGTGTATAAGCAACTAACTACCCAGATGTATATATACCACAACCCCATGTCTGGTAAACTGGGTCTAGGTGTGCAATTTTTTGGCTTATCCAGTATCTCCTGAGTGACTACTATATGGCAGGCACTGGAATGACAAACAGAGCAAGTATTCTTTTAAATGAGAAGAATGCATACAATCAACAAATATATTTATTTTTTTAAGAACACAGGCCTGCTCAATTTCCCTTTGAATTATGAAAAGGTTATCAGCTACCCAAATCCTACGTGGAAAAACAAGAACATAATTGTCACTGTAGTGCATCTAAAGAGTAAGAAAAATGGGCAAAACTCCAATAAGAAGTTCATTGACAAAAGTTTAAAAATCACGTTGGCAGAAATTTTCTAAAGTACTAAGCCCAGCAGATATTTTTTCAGTCAGGCTAAGAGAAATAAATGGAATATTTGCAAAGATTAAAAATAAAAAGAAATCAATGAACAGTTGTCTCGAGTATGTACAAATAAATGGACACATGTGTAGGGGGAAGGAATTATTATTTCTGAAAACAGTACTGCAATTTTATTTTTGAAGAAGTGCTAAAATGAGAAAAAGACGAAACAGCATGTAGTAGTTGTAAAATACCTTAAGTTCGTCAATAGAGATTTACCAACAATGCAAACAAGTCAAATTCAGCACGCAAAACAGCAGGCAAGTAATCACATATTATCAAATATGATTTGCATTCCTTGGTCTAAACCTGTTTTATAATGATGAGCACTCTCTGAAAAATCCATAAATCTCCTCTAGAGGTTATAAAACATGTTTACTCTTGCTACCTGCTTCATTTTCTTTTATCTATCCCATCAAATGAATGAGGTACCCCTATGCCCGAAAATACTTGATCTTGACACTTGAAATCTCCACCGATCTTTGGAGTTATCCACTACCATTTTTCTGGAAATAAGTTATTTCTACATCTGCTTTAACCATGAGACACTTAGCCGAAAACATGACAAAAGCACCTTACAGTTGCATTAGTATTTATAACTAAAACATACTTTTCAAAAAATTAGGGCCTTAGGCATCACAATAGTACTGCATGGTCTTATTTTAGGACCATAGGCTCTATCTTTCCATCACATCCCTGGCTCTAGTCTGCTTGTTTGGGAGTAGCTGGTAAGCAATGTCATAGTCCTCAAATGAGCCTCAAGTTTCTTTCATCCCGAATATCTAAATCCTGAAATTTAAATGAGGGGCTTGGAAAAAAGTGACCTGAAAACATACAAAAAGCAAATCAGGTGAATAATGTCTGAGTGAAAATCTAGGTCCTTACTGTATGCCACTGAATTTGATCGAACCTCAAGACTTATGAGTAAGACACTCCTTTACGAGATCCCAGCCTCCTACAATTTCCCTAATCCTTTACTGAAATAAGACACTCATGTCGATGGGAGAGAGAAGATCACTATATTATTTCTTTCGCTAAAGATCCTCAACAAGAGCCTTGGCTGGAAGGCTTCCTTGACAGATCTTACCTCTCAGCTGCCCTCAGCTTTTCTGCACCCCGAGTGTACACTGCAATCGACCAATCCACACAGCGTGCAAAACCTTCCTTCAGGAGGAGCTCTGTGATATTGCCGTTCTGAAAAACAAGGTACGTGAGAAGGCAGGCACAGATTAGATTCTATGGCAAGAGAATTCATTTCTCTAGACTATGACACAATTAACATAGCCTCAATCTAGTCTGAAGTTCGTCAAAAAGAAAAAAAGTAGAGCCAATTCTCTCATTAAGAAACCAGCCCTAAGACGGGAGATGCCACGCTGTGACTCCTCTCAACAGTCTTGGCTTCATATCCTCACAACACACAGCACAGTAACCCTCACTTAATAGGAACAGGATAAATGTTAGTGGCATTGAATGGAATTGGCATTTCAATAGCTCTTCTTGTGGGCAGAGGAGGGTGTTAATCTTTAGTGGAGATTACACCTTATTATTTCCTTCCCTAAGATCAGCACTTACTCCCCTTTTCATAAAGGGAAAGCTGAAGAACGAGCTGAGTAAGGGAATAACTTAAGCTACATTTTGCCCAATGAATTACAATTCACATTCTGCTGTGACACAGAGCCATCTGGCAGGGCACAGGCAGACAGCTAACACTCCAGAGGAATCAGACATGACCTTGGCAAATTGCGAACCAAGCCTCCCAGCCTTCCACACTGCCATGATGGAAAACTAACTGTAGTTTACTCTGTAATGGGTACAGATTACAATAATGAAAATCCACTTAAACTCGGGTGTTAAAAAACAAGGTCATTTCGTGTCCAAGCCATCTACCAAAGTGTACAGTAGGGTATAACTCCTGATTGTAAGAATATAAAGAACCTATTTCCTGTTCAAAAGTAGAGTTAGGAGGAAAACAGATAAGGCCTGGCGTACACAAGATAATTTTTCATAGAAAGATTTCCTCACGATAGTTCTACCAATACTCCAAATAGATAACTTCTAGACCTATATACGAACTCACCAATCTTGTTCTGCAAGTTTCAGTGGCTTCTAATCAATGTGCCAACATCCCACCTTTCCTATGTGCAACCTCTAGGACCAACATTTGGGAAAATAAGCAATAGAGTTCCTCTTCCCCTTAAAACCAGTAACATTTGAGATTAATTTTCTAAAAGTGCAGAGTTGTACAGATTTGTCCAATTCTATCAGATAACTGATATCTCCCTTGAAAATGCCTCAAAAATCAGTAGATGATAATCTTGCCAAGATATTTAAATGGCTCTTAAATACAGAAAGAGAAGCAAATTACAGTTCACCAAAACCCCAAACGGACCCCCAACCCCACAAAGCCCAGTCTTGACAGCACACTCACTGGATGAAGGATAGTGCCCAGAATGTTCTGGTTGTGGCAGCTCTCCAGAATGATCTGAACATCTCGCTGAAGCAGTCGAGACTCGGTGAAAAATCTGGCCTCTGCAGCGAAAGGCTCTGGTGTTTCACTGCCATCTGCTTCCCGTCGAAAAGTTGGGCACTACAGCAAAGTAAGGTGGGTGAGTAACGCAGCCTAAATGTGAGCGCTCGGCCCACTCATACCACACGGAACTGTCCAAAAAGCACAAACCAACAAGTCTACACTGGGAGAAGTCTCGGATCATGTCTTTCACCCTTTTGAAAATATACTAGTAAAAAGTAACTGGAAATAGCATCATCTCAGACTTCTTGGTAAGGCAAATAAAATTCATGTTATCACAGGGAAGTGAATTGTAATTACAGTTGAAAACGCCCCTTTGCCAAGAAAAGATTCACCAGTAACTAGCTTTAAATCCCTGGTATGTGTTTAATCAAAATGTATCTTTCATATTAAGCCATACTCGGCAAACTTCAGAGCTTCCCAGCCCCCCTTCCAGGTTTCAACAATTTCTCTGCATAACCCTCTCTAAACAGACCCTGAGTACTTAAAACATTAAAAAAAATCTTATCTGATCTAATTAGAATTGTCCCACTGCAATGTTTAAAGTACTCTAGCCAATGTTAATAGCCCATGCTCTGAAGAAACAGTTGATCCAAGGTCCCCATGTAGAAAAATCTACCTGACTGAACACTTCCACAAGCCCTAAACCCACCCTGTAGCCAATATATGGTCTGACCTTGATCCCTGACAGCATGACGGTAACCAGGTAGTAATCTGGGAGGAGCAGAGCCCTGACCACACTGCCATCTCGTACGTGCTCGATGATAGCTGCATGACAGAATAAACAGCCTAAGTCATTAGGAAAACTCGTGCCGGGAATAAACAATGCCCAATCAAACTGCACTGAACACAGTTCCTCTCCCCAAACCCTCAGGAAAGCCTCCCTCTGAGAAATGATAAAGCGCTGGTAGATTATGAGTATTCACACAACAGACTCTCCCACAGACTATTTCTGGGGAATATAGATCAGACCGACTTCTGTCTTCTGAACCTTCTGGGACCTCATGGCTCATATCTAAGCCTTGTTATTAGTAAGGTAAGTTGCTCACCTTAGTACCAGATGCTCAGCAAACAATACTTAATAATTCAGGATTGGTAATAATTTAATTTTACTGAGTCAGTGTTAATAAGGTCTCAAAGTAGGGCCAGAACGATATAGAATGGGGGGAGGGGCATGAGTGCGTGTGTTTAATGTATAAAGAATACATGTTTCTACCTCAGTTTCGGGGATGGTGTTTAAGTGGCCATCTTTTAGAAAACAGGAAGATCCCCAATGTGTAAAAATACCAGCAATTTACTACCCTATACCAGCAAAGGACTAACCTCTGCAAAATACATCTAATGTGACCCTCATGAACTGGACTCAAGTTCTCTTCCAAAATACCATGGCGTATAACCCTTAATAATTCCCCTCAGATACTAAATAAGTAGGTTAGGTTTTATAAACAAGAAGCTTGAGAACGCATAGGAAGAAATCACGCTGAGCCGCATCTGTCTTTGCCCACCAACCTCACCATTGACAGGCTTCTGGTGGTGTGAGTCCACAAAATGCCTTGGGTTCTCAATGGTATACTTGAGGTCCCGGATAGTTTGTGAACCATTCCCCTCACTCCACATCCCTTTCTTAGCTGCCTTCGCTTGTTCCTCACATTCAGAAAGCCGGTTCTGCTCAGGACTGGGAAGTAAAACATAAACATTTGTGGTTAGTGAGTTCACAATAGAAATATCAGGCTCACTCTTCTCTGAGTTTCTTCAGCATCTTCTCCCCTTGAAGAGACCAAAGCATGTTTCAGACCAACAGCTTCAGACCCAAGCCTATAACCAGAAAACCACCATGAGTACAACTTCCAGATTCCAAATTTGTTCTCTCAAACAACAGATTCAATCTTCACAGCATTTAATGAGACGATCCAAAGAATACACATCTCAGTACTGCCACCATCAGTGATTACGAGAGAACAAGTTGGTGGCTCAGAGGGAAGCCGCTCCGGGGAGTACAGCTTCATTTAAGTATCCCAGATTCAGGAAGTAGAATCCAGGCAGAGCTCAGCAGGACACAGTACAGGGAAAGTGACTAAGAACCACCCTTGCTCCCTGCTGTCTACAGAACAGGGCTGAGGAACGCAGAGCAAATACTGTTATCGCAGATAATGTCACCCCAAAACTACTTACACATTCAATAAAGCCAGCTAAGCAAAAGCAGTTTGAAAATATTAGACGAAATGTTAGATGAAAGGAAATGTTTCTTTCATCAGGAAACCAAACTACATGCAAAAGCAGCCAGAAGGTCAGCAGATAAACAAACAGAACACCATAAATGGCTCTGTTCTCTCTCACACACACACCTGAGCAAATGAAGTGAACAGTGAACTGCATGGCCGTTCCACAATCTCAACATCATCAACGGCTGTATACAGAAACTGAATCTCCCACCCTGATCAGTAGGGATGTCTAAAACAGGGTTCCCTGCCCTACAATTTCTCAAACCAAAAGTCTTCGATACC